AGCCACATACACCCAAGGTGGTGGGTTCAAATCCAGCCTGGGCCCGCCAAAAACAACAATGACGGCTGCAACCAAAAAATAGCCAGGCATTGTGGCAGACGCCTGTGGTCCCAGCTACTTGGGAAGCAGAGGCAGGAGACTCTCTTGAGCCCAGGAGTTGGAGGTTGCTATGAGCTGTGATGTCACAGCACTCTACCTAGGGGGATAGCTTGAGGCTCTGCCTCAAAAAAAAAGAAAAACTGAGGCAAGAGGATCACTTGAGCCCAAGATTTGGAGGTTGGTATCAGTTAGGACACACACTACCCAGGGCAACAGCTTGAGACTCTGTCTCAAAAAAACATTTTTTTTTTCTTTAGTTAACTCAAGTGTTATGATACACCCATTGTTCTGTTTCTTGCTGACTTGCTAGCTTGAAAAGGATCTGCAGTGCTATTTAGGAGGGCTCTTGAACCTCTTTAGAGCTCGTTTGTCCCAAGTATGGACATTCAGATTGTTAGTTTTTACCATTTTAATTTATTATTTATTTATTTTTGTAGTGACAGGGTCTTTCTATCTTGACCAGGCAGGTCTCAAACTCCTGGCCTCAAGCAATCTTCCTACTTTGGCCTCCCAAAGTGCAGGGATTACAGGGGTGGGCCACTGTTCCTGGCAATCTTTTGTCAATTTGATAAAAATGGCAACAATTGGCCAGGTGCAATCACTATCGTCTATAATGCTAGCATTCTGGGAGGCCAAAATGGAAGGGTACTTGAGCTCAGGAATTTGAGACCAACCTGAGCAAGAGGGAGACCACATCTCAACTAAAAAAAAAAGAAGAAGAAAAGAAAGAAGGAAAAATTAGCCTGTGTTGTTGTGCTCACCTGTCATCCCTGTTTGAACCCGGGAGTTTGAGGATTCTATGAGATAGGCTAATGCCACAGCATTCTAGGTGGGCAACAGAGTGAGACTCTGTCTCAGGGGAAAAAAGGCAGTAATGTTGGGTGGTGCCTGTGGCTCAAGGAGTAGGGCGCTGGCCCAATATTCCAGAGGTGGCAGGTTCTAACCCAGCCTCAGCCAAAAACTGCAAGGAAAAAAAAAAGGCGGCAATGTCATACATTTTTGTCCATGTGTACAAGGTTTATTGGGAAAAATTTTTCCTAGAATTAAAATGTTTTGAACAAACAAAAACATTTCTCTTGGAACAAATAGATGCACATTAAATAAATTTCACATTTCCAAATTCCCTCCCAAAAAAGATTAGTTTCAGAGAATATCTTTCAAAATCTTTGAGAAGCTGCCATGGGGAAATTTTATTTGGTTCTTGTTTTCTTTTCTTTCTTTCTTTTTTTTAGAGAGAGAGTCTCACTTTGTCACCCTTGGTAGAGTGCCGTGGCATTACAGCTCACAGCAACTTCCAGCTTTTGGGTGTAGGTGATTCTTTTGTCTCAGCCTCCCAAGTAGCTGGGACTACATGCGCCTGCCACAACGCCTGGCTATTTTTTTGTTGCAGTTTGGCCAGGGCCATGGTATATGGGGCCAGCGCCCTACTCACTGAGCCACAGGCGCTGCCCTCTTTTTTTTTTTTTTTTTTTTTAAGACAGAGTCTCAGTTTGTTGCCCTCCATAGAGTGCTATAGTATCATAGCTCACAGCAACCTCAAACTCTTGGGCTCAAGTAATCCTCTTGCCTCAGCCTCCTAAGTAGCCGGGACTACAGGCACTTGCCACAACACCTGGCTATTTTTAGAGACAGGGTCTTGCTCTTGCTAGGCTGGTCTCGAACCTGTGAGCTCAGGCAATCCACCTGCCTTGTTGGTTCTTGTTTTCAATTACATTCCTTTACTTTTTATTAAGGTTGAACATCTTTTCATAAGTTCATTATTTGCAGAATTTCTTGTTCTATAAAGCTCTGTTCCAGTCTTCTGCCCATTTAAAAAAAATTGTTTGTTGGCTCAGCACCTGTGGCTTAAGTGGTTAAGGCGCCAGCCACATAAGCCTGAGCTGGCGGGTTCAAATCCAGCCCAGTCCCACCAAAACAACAATGACAGCTGCAACCCCCCCCAGAGAAAATTCATTTGTAAGAACTCTTGGTATATTAAGGAAATTAATTTTTTTTTTTGGAGACAGTCTCACTCTGTTGCCCTCAGCACAATGTTGTGGTGTCTTAGCTCATAGCAACCTCAAACTCTTGGGTTCAAGTGATCTTCTTGTCTCAGCCTCCCAAGTAGCTATGACTACAGGCACCTGCCACAATGCTTGGCTATTTTTTTGTTATTGCAGTTTGGCCAGGGCCAGGTTTGAACCTGCCACCCTCGGTATAAGGGGCTGGTGCCCTACCCACTGAGCCACAGGTGCCGCCCCCCCAAGTTATTTTTAGAGATGGGGGGGTCTTGCTTTTGCTCAAGCTGGTGGAGCATCTGAATACAGGTGATCTGCTGCCAAGGCCTCCCTGAGTGCTAGGATTACAGGCGAGAGCCCCTGCAACCAGCCTACAGTTTTAATTATCAGCTTGCAAATATTTATCACTAGTCTATTGGACACACGAGGATGTGTGTGAGAACAAATGGGTTGGGGCAGCATTATCAGGGAAGACCCCCAGAGCTCTTACCTGTTGTAAATGGGTCCTTTGAAGGTGGGGTCATACTTTTGTGGCGTACCTGAAAGTCAGTAAGATTAAGCTAGGCAGATGAGCTGAAACAAGACAGGACAGGGAGACCCTCTCCCCTTTCTCTGAAGCCCCTAGGGGTGTCTGTGCCATGGCAAGAATAAAATTCAGACACCCTGCAGACTTTCTGTGACATCTACCCCCAAATGACCACACTCAAGCCATCAGTAGGTGAAGGCCAAGACTGGAGTCGTTAATCGTGAACAAATTTATCACCTGGCGGCCACCTCTGGGAAAATGGCTGGAATGGCGGCCACCAGGGATCAGGTGGAAGGGGTAGGGGGAAGGTCCGAGGTGGGACGTGGGGATATGCGGCAGAGGGGTCCCGCAGGAGCGCGGCGCAGCGGGCAAAGGGGCAGATCCTTCAGGGAAGAGGGGCGTCTGACAGGCAGTTCCGGGGGAGACTTTTGGGGTGAGGGTGCTAGAAGGTGACAGTGGGGAGCCCAGGGACGAGATCTGCGCTTCCGCTCTGCTCACTTGTCCCAGTTTCCCGCGCCCCAGATTCTCGCTCCATCCCTTCCGAGGGGCCAGCCCCGGGCCGTGGCTACCTACCGTGCTTCCCGTAGTAATGTTGCCGCTCGGCCCCCATCCCCGCGGGCGCCCTCTGCGTCCCGGGTCTGGTTCCGAGGTTTAGATTCGCCGGGGACCCGGAGGGATACACAGACCGCCGGGCTGGCGGCGGCTCCTCCCAGCCCAGAGCTAGGCGGGGCGGCCCAAACCGGTCAGACCGGCCCGAGCTGGGGAGCTGGGCCGCAGCTCTCGGCCAAGGGATTGCGGAGGGCGTCCGGCTGGGAGGCAGCTGCTCCCGCCACTCACTGGCCACCCGGATTTAGCCCGCCCCGCCCCCACCACCCAGGGAACCCACCTGTGGCTTCTCCCAGGCCCTGGGCTATCCACCTCGGCCTGGAACACCTCCCAACCATGAAAGGGAGCCTCTATCGCCCCATTCCTCAGGTGGGGAACCTGAGGCACAGGGAGGGTAAAGAAACAATAGAAGGCGAAGCTATGGGGTATTTGGGCTGAAAACTCCCAAAACTGTGCTGTGGAGTTTTATTTTGGTCTGTTACTTGCTTTTCTTTTTCTTTCTTTTTCTTCCTTTTCCTCTCTTCCTCTCTTCTTCCCTCCCTCCCTTCCTTCCATCCTTTTTTTGATACTGTCTAACTCTGTCACCCTGGGGTGAGTGCCCTGTTAGCCTCTAGATCACAGCTACCTCAAACACCTGGACTCAAGTGATTCTTTTGCATCAGCCTTCTCAGTAGCTGGGACTACAGGCATCTGCCACAAAACCCATCTAGTTTTTCTATTTTTAGTAGAGACAGGGTCTCACTCCTGCTCAGGCTGGTTTGGAACTTCTGGCCTCAAGTGATCCACCAGCCTCGGTTTCCCAGAGTGCTGGGATTATAGCCATGAGGCATGGTCCCTGGCGCTCTGTTGCATTTAAAACAATAATTGCCAACAGTTCAATAGTGCTGGAGTCCACCAAAATATCCACATCTTCAACCTCTTGAAAACTTAAAAAAATAAGGCTGGCAACCCCTGTGCCTGGAACTACCGGTTTACTACTTTTGTGGCCCCCAGGACACCAGAGCTGCTGTTCCCCTACACTCTCACAATCTTGCTAATCCTGAAGTCATTGTTTAGTAGAACAAGTATTTATTTAACTCATACTGGTTCAGGTATGGGGTTGGGCCCCAGGTACAGTGAAGAGCCCACATCCTACTGAGTGGCCCTGTGTTCAAATGTTCCTTCTGTCCCCTCTGAACCAGAAAACACTTCCCAATGCTTATCTTTCCTGAGCCTCTGTTTCCTCAACTGTGAAGTGGGTCTAATGTATAAAAGCAAAACTGGCCTTAAAGATCCAACACAAGATACCAGGGTGTATACAGCTGGCACTGCAGTTTACAGTCAGGCATGGATGTACTGTGAGGTCAGTGTCTGGATATTCAGTCCATGTGTAGGGACACAGTAGTTGTGGGGCATATAGTTAATGTGGAGGTACAGTCAACAGGGAGGTATGGCTGATGTTTAATGTGCATGGATGTGTTGAGTAGGGGCGAGGGTATATCACCCGTATATGGTGTGTAGCCATTGTGGAAGTATACCACAGGAGTATATATAAACACATGGTACATATGACTGGCTGTATACTCCCACACTAACCATCCACCCACATGCTGACTGTATACTTGCTTGCAAACTAAGCCTGCAACTCCCAACTTGGAGGCCAGCTGTATACTTTACAATGCAGCCAACTATATGGCTAGCATGACATTATACAGTCGGTGGCATAGCAGATATAAAGCCAGGGTTATACAGTCAGTGTGGTCATATATAGTTGGAATTTAATAATCGCATGTGCTGCCTCAGAGTCCTGCACCCCACAAGCAAGATTCTCTCACTAACTCAGCTTGTCCCTAGAGAAATGCCCTGTCCCTTGGCTGGGTGCCCATAGTTCAGAGGTTAGGGCACCGGCCATATGCACCAGGGCTGGCTGGTGGGTTCGAACCCAGTCAGCGCCTGCTAAAACAAAACAAAACAAACAAACAAAAAATAGCTGGGTTTTGTGGCGGGCGCCTGTAGTCCCAGCTAATAGGGAGGTTGAAGCAAGAGAGTCACCTGCGCCCAAGGTGACTGTGCCCAAGTTTGAGGTTGCTGTGAGCTGTGACATCATAGCACTCTACTGGGGGTGACAAAAGAGAAATGCCCTTTCCCCCAGAATGGCCTCCAGCTGAGAAGGCCCCACCTGGGCCACAGACTTCAGCAAACATGCAAGGCCTGAATCTCCAAGCCATGGCCTTGGATGACCAGGACTCCCAAATAAGCCCTGTGGTTCATGCAGTTTCTGCCAGCCCAAAGGCTGGCTGGTTCCACCCCACCCAATCCAAATAGTGGATAGAGGGAGTGGATCTGGGCCATGAGCCTCTTCTCTTCCTAGCTACAGGGGTCTTCTGGGGACACTTGTGCAGACTCAGGACTTTAACCAACAGCTGTACTCTGATCATGCTCATGAGGGCCTTGCCCCTGAGCTGTACACACATGTGTGACACTTGCCTCCCCCCACCCCCTGACCCCCCGTCCTGATCCCATGTGAACCTTGTACACAGTATGGCAACATCCAAGATCCTGAATGTCCCCATGACTCAATAATGGCAGCTCTGTTCTCCCAGATGCTCCGGTCAGGAACCTGGGATGACTTGCTGCTTCCCATATGCCTTTGGATCTATCCAGAATCCAACCTTTTCTCAGCCCCCATTCTTTTCATACAGCCCTGTCATCTGTCTGGACTAGTGCAGGTAACATTTAATCCTCACCGCAGTAGCCAGAGGTACCTGTGCACAAACGACAGTATGTCTTTCCTCTGCCCAGAGCCCTCCATGACTCCCATGTTACTTGAAAGAAAAAGTTCAACTCTTCAGCATGGCCCACAAGGCCCTGCATGATCTGCCCTCTCACCTTCTAGCCCCCACCTCCTCCCTCTCTCTCTGTGTCTTACTCTGTTCCAGCTTCACTAGCCTTCTGGCTACATTGCAAACTCATTACGCACAGTCCCACCTCATTAGGCAAAGTCCCACCTTTGCCTTAACTGTTCTGCTTAGAAAGTTCTCCACTAGGCGCCTATGGCTCAAGTGGCTAAGGCGCCAGCCACATACACCTAAGGTGGCAGGTTCGAATCCAGCCCAGGCCCGCCAAACAACAATGATGG